CTTGCCTCAAATCAACAGGGTCAATTAATTATAGAATAAAACCTCTGAAACCATGAGCCAAAATAAACCTTTCTTCTTTTCAAGTTCATTATCTCAGGGATTTTGTTGTGTTAATGGAAAACTGACTAACATCCCTTCTAATTTCTTAATGAAGTATTAAGTATACATACATATTCAGTAAGAGAATTGTATATAGGATCATCCTAACTTTTAAACAGTAGGAATCTGCCTTCTTTGTGGAGGAATTTGTGATGTTCAAATTTGTAGTCTGCTAAAAAAAAATAAGATCAAATATTGTGGAAAATAAAACATCAGTTCGACTGATATGAAAAACTGCAAGAACAAATTGCTTCAATTTATTAGGTTCTCAAGAATAAAAGGCATGAAATAGCCCTTTTCCCAGAAGGTTTTAGTAGAAGAGATTGCTTTTGTGATCTTTAAACCCTTTTTCATTCCTTACCTCCTCTTCATTTCTATCAGTGCTTTTATTTCATGGCTTGCTAATTGTCTTAATGTGATAAAAAGGAAATGATGAAAAATAAAAACAGCATATTTATCTAGCACAATTATATGTCAGTCATGGCACTAACTTATCAAGTTCTTAAAGTGTCCTCATTAGGTAGGTAGTATTATTATCTCCATTTTACAGATGAGAGACTTCAGTTAGCAAAGAGGTTGAGAATCTTCTTTAAGGACAGAGTTAGATGGTGACAGAGCTGACACACAGGAATCTGTGCTCTTAACTACAATACCATGACTTTTTAAAGGTACCTATTTCTAAATGTTCCTGATAACACAGCCTAAACCACAGTAAAGCTGAGGCAAAAAGTCAAACCATTGTTTCTTATTTGAGATGAAATCTTAAAAGTCTGTTTAAATGCTTCAAAAAAAGTCAAGTGCTTCTCTTGTGGAGATAAAACGACTTGCCTTTTCATCCCCTCTTACTTAAAGAGAACGTGATCTCTTTCTCATCTACTCTAATAACCTGAATTAGTTCAAAATCTTAGGAGGGAAGTCTCATATGTTAATAAGCATATGATGCCACTGAAATTGCATCTTGCTTTTTCATATTCTGAAACCTAAGGTCCTACTTTCTTCTAAACAAAAAAATCACTAGAAAAAGTTACGGTGGGAGGTTTTAGAAATCCTACTCAGTTATATTGACAATGAACTGCACAGTTTCTGGCTTGGATCTTAAACTACATTGTTCCTAGTCAGCTGTGTGGGCTGTGTTCTTCACCACCATCTCTATTAAGCGGCCCGAGTTCGATCCTCAGCACCACATACCAACAAAGATGTTGTGTCTGCCGAGAACTAAAAAATAAATATTAAAAATTCTCTCTCTCCTCTCTCACTCTCTCTTAAAAAAAAAAAGACCTTGAAACTCAGAAAGGATAAGAACACTGCATAAAGATATAGGGGTAGTCAGTGATGGGACCTTCATTCCCACACAGATCCACCTCAGGCCAGGATCCCTGCTCCTTTTCCTACAATGCCATTCCCTACACGGCACAAACAACTTGGATGGAAGTTCAAAGCAATGTTTATCTTTAATATGTGGAGGCAAGAGAGCATCAAATTACAAAAGTAAGCAACTGCAGTACTCAGAGAAACTTTGGAGGTAGCCTTATCAAACCTTCTAATTTTTCGGAGATTAACATAGGAGCTTAGAACAGTTAAGGGGTTTTATTCATTGTTGAGTATAGTTATGGACAGGCTAAATATAGTCTTATTTTGTTTAGTTTTGTCTTTATGAGGGTTCTTACCTGCAAATATACTTGAGAAGGTTGTAATTCACCACTGGCAAACTCTTCACCTGCTTTGCTAATTCCTTAACACCCTGAGTACAAAGAAGAAGAGAATTAATGTCATCTATGTATTGGTCTTGTTATTAAAGTAAGTAGAAAATAGCAATATTGTTCTTTATTTCAGCACATATTATCAGTGAAAGAGTCTTTCCTGAAGATATTCCACTATTATGGGGAATATTTTAGAAATATTTTCCGAAATGTATAAGTATTTAAAATATTTCCCATAACTGCAGTCAATATAGTACAATAATGTGCCAATCAATATTGCATGACTACATATAGGAAGGTGGTCCAAAAGATTATATCATCCATCTAATGATGGTATGGGCATCTTAGTTTGTATATGTACATGTTAAGATATTTACACAATGATGAAACATATTAAAGATGTTTCTCAGAACATATCCCCACTGTTATGTATTATTTGTAGAGAAACAGACTTAAGTGAAGCTCTTTTAACATTTTTAACAGTTGTTCACAATGACTGAAAAGGGATGACAGACTCATTAGTTGAAAACAAAAAATAGCATTGATGTAGTGAAGGTCCTTCCCATTTTCACCATGCCTAGAAGTTAGATAAACACATGCCTACTGACTATTCAATCTCTCTGGATTGGTCATGCCTACAGTATATCATTAGTTGCGACACAAAGAGGGTTGGAAAGCCTGATCTTCCTGGAAAGTTCACAAGGGATTAATTTCTTCTGTTCTTCTCATGTAGAACTTCCTCTAAAATGTAAATGGCCCTAGAAAAGCCAATTGATAATGCAATCTGATTTCTTCTTCCTGTAAAGGGTCAGTTAGTAAGTATTTTAGGCTTTACAGGACACCTGGTCTCTGTTATAACTACCTGAGCATTCTGTTGTTATACAAAAACAGCCACAGTTGATATTATGAAACAACAACAACAAAAATAAAATTGCATTTGTAAAAACAGGCAGCAGTTTTTGACAATTATAGCAAGAGAGTTCAATGGAAGAAAGAAGAGTCTTCAAAAAAATGGTGCTGAGACTATTGGATATCCACATGCAAAAGAATAAAGTTGGCTCCTTTCCCTGCATCATAACATGAGCTCAAAATGGAACAAAGATCTCAGTGTAAGAGTTGAAGTTACACAATTCTTAGAAGACCATAGAGGAGTAAATATGACTTTTTCTTACACACAGGCTTCTTAGACATGACACAAAAAGCACAAATGACCAAATAAAAATAAATAAAATACATGAAATACTTCATCAAAATGAAAAAGGGTTTATGCTTTAAAGGACATCATCAGGAAAATGAAGAGATAATAATTTAAATGGGAGAAATATTAGCAAATCACATATCTGATAAGGAACATGATTTAACTATATAAATTCTTACAACTCAATAATAAGACAAATACAGTTGGTCCTCCATATTCATGGATTCAACCAACTGCAGATTAAAAATGTTAGGAAAAAACTGTATCTGTACTGAACAGTACTGACATTTTTCTTGTCACTGTTCCCTAAACAACACAGAATAACAACTATTAGCACAGCATTTACTTTGTACTATGCACTACAAATAATTTAGAAATGATTTAAAGTATACAGGAAGCTATGCCTAGGTTATATACAAACACTACACCATTCTATGTAAAGGAATTGAACATTCATAGATTTAGGTATCTGCAAGGAGGCCTGGAATCAATCACCTGAGAGACTGGGATGGTGGTAATGCAATTAAAAATAGGAAACTAATCTGAATAGATATTTTTTCCAAAGAAAGTATATAAATAGCCAATAAACACCATGAAAAAATATTTAGCATCATTAGCCATCAGGAAAACGCCATTCAAACCTCAATGATACACTCCTGACATGTATTAGAATGTCTATGGTCAAAAAGACAGATAACAGTAAGTGATGGCAGAGATGTAAAGAGATTGGAATCTGCACACATGCCTGATGGTAATTAAAAATGCACACTCTTTTTGGAAAAAAAAAATAGAGCTACATATGGACCAGCAATTCTATCTTTAAGGTATATATCCAAATGAAATGAAAACATATTTCCATGCAAACCTTGGCACATAAATGTTCATAGTAGCATTATTGCTAATAGTCAAATAATGGAAATTCAAAAACTGATGAATGAATAAAAAATAGAATACTGTTTGGAAATTTTAAAAATGAAATACTGATAAATGGTACAATGTGAATGAACTTTGGAAAAGATGAAAAAGCCTAATCACAGAAAACAACATATTGAATGATCTTGTTTATATAAAATGTCCAGCAGAGGCATACCTATAGGGGAAGAAATTAGATTAGTATTTGCCAAGAGCTGGGGAAAGGGGAATTCACAGAGGCTCTGAGATTTGTTTTAGGGAAATAGAAATTTTGTAAATATTCTAAAATTGAATTTTGGTGCTGGTTGCACAACTCTGAGAATATATAAGTACTGAATTATAAAGTTTAAACCATTGATTGTACAGTACGGTAATTACATCTCAATAAAGCTGTTTTTAACAAAAATAGGCAGGAGATAGGATTTGGTTTATAGGCCATTATTTGAGATACTTTGGAGGTATTCAACAAAGGAGATTATGAAACAAGGTGCTCATGTTCTTCTTGGAAGATGTGACCTAATGTAGCACCATGAATCAACCCTTTAGGGGAGCCAAGTGCCATAAAGCACTGATTTCATTCATTCAGCCACATTCTTCTTTCTGATCAGACAGGGAACAGAAATGGGACTTGAGTTGTGCATAGAAGGTCTAAATGTGTGTGATGTAGAGAAAGGGGGAAATGTCCAAGAATAGGACAAGAGGAAAATTGCAAATTAAATAGTAAAAACACAGACAAAACCTGCATACCAAAGTTTATTAAAAACAAATGCATCAACTTACCGCTTCCTCTTCCTTGCTGAGCAGCTTGGCACATGACAAGAAATCTTCATACTTAGCATATGGAATAACTGGTTCTGGAAGTTCTCGAAGATACAGTTTAAGGAGTGAGGCCACCGTGTGCACGTCCGTGTTGCTATGGAGACAGAAATTGAAAGGTATTTTAGGGGGTAACTTTATATCATTTAGTTTATTATTATTAGTGTGAAATATATGCCAAGGAGTCCCAATTCTATCTAAATTTGCAACTGAATCAGTCAATCTAGTTTCCAGGGAGCACACACTTTTGTAATGTCTATTAGACGCCACCAAGGGTGGGAAAGAGAGAGTGACAAGACACTTTCAGACTCCTTCACGTGGTGTGAAAATAGTTGAAAGTTCAAGCATTTTGCTTAGGTGTGTATTTTTTATTTGTTCTTTTTAGATACACATATCAGTAGAGTGAATTTCAGCATATTATACCAATATATAGAATAACTTATTCTAATTAGGATCCCATTCTTGCAGTTGTACATGATGTGGAGTTTCACTCATTGTGTATTCATATATGAACGTGGGAAAGTTGTATCTTATTCATATGTGTATATTGGATGGCAAGCAAAAGTGTTAGCTTTGGAAAACTATGAGAATATATCAGGCCACAAAATATAATACACTTTACAACAAATACCAAATTTATGTTTGTGTATGTTTGTATTCTGTGTCAGAATTCATTACTTCTGAATCCTGACTTCATCTCTCAAAATGTTGAACTCATTTTAGGGAGACATTGGTGATTGGTTCCAGATACTTGAAGCTTAGGATGACACACTTTTTAAGCACAACTCATTATGAAGATGTTGGCTCTCAGCATAATTGCTTGTCTACTATTCTAAAAGAGTTGGGAATTCTTAGATCCCTCTAGAAAGAGAAAGGAAATCCTCTGAAAATAAACAATTACAATTTTAACATATTCTTTACATAACTCATGTAATTTATATTTATCCCCTGCAGAACGCCAGAGTGGCAGGATAATTTACTGAATGTGAATGTATATTTTCTTCTCTGTATTCCCATTCCATGTTAATCCATGAAGATGGATAACAGGAAAGAGGGGAATCAAACTGTTTTTGAGTGGGAGTTATTTATTTAGGGGGGGGGGAAGAAGCAGGTTGAATACTTAAGTGAGGCAGGAAATGTGGTAGTGAGTAAATCAGGGGGTTCTGTAAGAAGTAAAAGCTTACACCATACTCCCAGCTTCAGGAGTGGGTAAGACCCTGGAAGGCTCTGCCTTTGGAATAGAAACTGGGATGCAGCACTAGGGAGTACTCTCTTGGTGATGCCATATGTATGTGAGCTAGGACAATGTGCCTCTCAGTTCTCAATTTTGAACTCATGGATTGATTTCATCAAGTATTTACTGTGTATCTATTCTGTGTTGGACACTATAGAAAACACAGTGGCTAGGGTCTCAGGAATTAACAAATAAAGGTATTTTTCAAGCCTGCTTATAATTTATAATTTAGGGGGGCAGCAAATATTAAGCCAATGATAATATACTATGTAATTATAGAGTTGTAGTGGGTGGTAAGAAGGAAAACTATAGGATGTTGTTTAATAACAATAGAGGACTAACCAGGCATAGGGTGGGCTTCTCTGAGGAAATGAGGCTTGGACTAAGATTGGAAGGGTGTAGTAGAGTGAACTGAGAGCAGAAGGACAGAGAAGTGCATTACTGATTAAAGTAAGGAAGGGAAACACTTTGAAGAGGGAGGCAGCCTCGTGCCCTTAAAGACCTATTAAAGACTGGGAAATTCAGAGCCTCCAATGGGGGTGGATATGGTCAGAGTGGCAGGGAGCAGCTTCATGAGCCACAGAGCTTTATCTACCTGGGGACAAGCACTGAGGTTTTTTGTGTGGATGTTAGAGTCTGTCAGAATAAGCATACCATGAGTGATTTTGAAGATATTAAAATGATGATTTGATCTAATGGGGCATGTTACGTTAACTTTATTTTTCTAACAAATAAGTATATTTTAAAAAATTGTCAATGGTAAGGCAATATCAATAAAGAGGTTCTCTTAAAGATTTGTGAATAAAAATCACATCTCAAGGACCTCTTGAAATCTAGGTTCAGGCTTATTAATTTCCAAAAATAATTTCTAATTTTTTTAAAAAAGATGGACCTATAATAGTTTCAGTAGTAAGACAAAAAAAAATTCATATGTGTTGTTGTTTACTGGTAAAGCTGTCCATTTCACGAGTATCCAAACCTTCTATGCCTCTGTTCCTATATAGTAAAGTGCCTGGCTTGAAAGAGCAGTCACCAGGAGTAACAAAATTGCAGCCTGAGGCAGGAGAGGCAGTGCAATCAAATGTTCCAATAAACTACTTCCACTTTTTGACTTCACTCTAATTCAACCTACTGTCATGACTGGATGGGATCTGTTTTGCCTCTAGAGTCAATGACAAAATGTTGCTAAAGTTATAAGTAGGGAGAGAGAAAAATATAAAATCAAAATACAAAATAAGTACATATATATTTCAATATGTAGAGTGTTTTATATGTATATTTCTATACAAACACTATGTTAAATATTTATGAGTAAATGCAATAAAGAAAGAAGATAATAAAGAAAAAAAGGAACATATTTAACAAGAAATCTGTTTTAGAATTTCTTTGATGATTTATTCATTCCATTCACTTTCCTGGAACACACTGTTTTTATGTTAATGTCCTGAATTCCTTCCTCTATTACTTCGCTTCTGAAGAAGGGAAACATTTGGTGTTGAGAACATTCGAACACTAGGTGGCAAGCTTGCAAAGTTAGACTGTGAGGCCCGGAGAAAACTGTGAAGGATGGAAGGCAGCAGAATCATTCTTCCTCTACCAGCAACGTTCTTAACACCAAAGCTGCAGTAATCTTCCAAGAATTAAAACATTGGAGCTATGAATCAAAGTAAGAGAGATGGAGTGGGGTGATTATTTTATTCCTTGCCTGAAATAATCCTTTGCCTTAGCTTTTAATATTATAATATATATGGCCACAGGTAATTACACCGAAATGAAAATGACATAGAAATAATAAAGAATGATCGTATGTATTTTCTGTCTTCTTTTTTTTTCTCCAATTAACAAAGGCTATTCAAGTTTTGTTTAAAGACTTAAAATTTTATGACTTTTTGGGGGGACTTCATTAAACCTAGTTCTTTGTAGAAATAGAGACTTCTGCATTTTTTTCAGCTTTCTCATTTTGGCTTTGTACTTTCCTACTGAATGGAAGGAAACAATTACTTTTGGACGGACTCCAAAATGCTTTGCCTCTTCTGATTCATGTCCTGTGGCTCACATTGGGTCACTCTGCCGTGGCTGCTAATAGGCTACCTAGAGCAATGGGAGACTGGGGTTTTTCTGAAAAAATCTCTGTAGGTTTACTCTATGAGATGACAATCTTCCACATCTAACTCTCCAGCCTGATATCTCTGACTAAAAACCCACTACTTTGATTTATTGATATTTACTTTACTACATACAACTAATTAACTAGATACCAATGTTTTGTGTTAATAGCCTAATGCACCTTCAATGACATGTTATTTTTGCCTCAGAGATATTTATCTAGTCTTTGCCAAAGTGAAGTGACTAATTGTGACAAAAGTCTAGGTACAATGGGAAATAAAAATTGTTACCTGGTTAACAACAACAACACCTCTCCACACTCTAGGCCCTCTCTGTGATCCAACCAGTAGATTCTGTAATTAATCCCATTTGAGGCACTTGAACAGGACATCGCACAGATAGGTGGTACATTAACCTCAGGTTCCTTTGGTAGGACTTCAAAACTACTTGGTAATGTAAAATCACTACATAGACTCAAGATTCTTTCACTCACCTGGTAACAGAATTTGCTCAGAAGTTAGGAAAAATAATCATACACTTCATATCCAGTGATAGAAAAGAGAAAGAGAGAGAAGAGAGAGGGCCTCTATAATGCTCATTTACAAAGCTACCAGACGAGGAGGAGCTCTGTAGCATATGCTTACTTGATCAACACATGGGAATTGTTTACCCCTCATACTGTACTTGGACTTTGCTTTTGAAACCTGTTTCCTTGTGTTCACTACTGTTTTCAACCTTGAAGACCTCCGTGAAGCTTCCCATGATTGATCTAATTTAGTTTTCTCATGGGTCATCTTTTGATCCTTCTGGAATCTGTCATTCATTCACTACATAGTTCCTGAACACCTATAGTGAGCACTGCCTCAGGATACCTGGTGGGTGGGGGAATAGACGAACAACAAGAGACCTTTTTTTCCCTCCCTTGAGCTTAGCTTATATCTCTATCTGGTCCCTGTCAACACATTTCCTTACCATGCTCAAGTTTTCAACTTTATAACACTCTCTGTGTAGTCTAACTTTTAATACCCTGCCAGATATGTGATCTTAAGAATATTCTCTGCACTTCCTGGAAACTCGTCGCACTGTTTATAAATCTATGCACAATAGGCTTTTACTAATCTGAATGGGAATAAAAGATCTGAAAACAATCCCTTCTTGCTCATCCTGTAACCCTACTCTTCCTTCCCTAATAAGTATACTTATACACACTGATAAATCCAAATGCCACCATAATTACAAGTATAAAACCACATAGACAAAACCTTGTAACACTTAAGCTTCATAATTAGAAAAGGGAATTTTTCATTCTGGTTACCATGCACAGAACACAGTATAATCAATCCCTTGATTTAACTGAATAGAATGAATTTCCAATGCATTCACACAGGAAGTTATTAAAGATATTGTGGACTTATCGGCAACGAGCACAATAAGAGGACCTAAGAATTACCTTCAAATTAAGAAAATAATAATGTCATCTCTACCAGGCTCCAGGGAGAACATAAATTAAAATGAAGACATGCAACAGCATTGCCCGGATGAACTCTGCCCCCAAATGTCTTGCTTAAGCAACCTGCTCCACCCCTGAGTTCACCAAAACACAGAAAAGCTAACCTAAAAGTTTAAGCAGCTCTAAACTAAACTAAACTAAACTAAACTAAATGCCATTTGGAAGAGTCTGCTTCTGTTCAAACTTATTTATTAATTATCTGTCAAAACTGGTACATTTTTTTGGCAGTGAAACTTGCATCTGGTTC